GAAGTTTCTAAACACTCTCAGTAATGATGTCAGTCTCATGGACCATTAGGCAGAAGATTGACAGCATGCTTGACTATGCTTCATTTGATGACACTGCTAAACTGGTTCCCATATCAACTTCATATCAAGATCAATTGGGAAGATGTCTCAAACATTGTGTTTAAAAAAGAAGGAGGAAATCATGTGGGAAGTCATTCTAGTGCTTTTTAACAGTCTCCCAGAAATTTTTCTAATATGTAGCCAAAGTTGAAAAACATTGCTTTAGAATAAAATGCCTTACTCTTAGTTAAGTATCATTCTTGCCCATTACTAACAACCAGATCTACTCTACAAGTAATAACCCCAAAGGTACAGAGAACTTAGGCTGTCATCTATTATAATGGGCTGTGAATTCATTCAGATTGATTAGTGCCCATGTCTTCAGGTCAACAAATATTTTGAATATTATAGCCACTCATCATGTTATATCTATTCAAAGTCTTAGTGCCAGGCTTTATGTATTAAGAGATTTTAAATTATTAATGAGTTTATCAATTATTTACAAATTATTTTTCATGAGCGTGATCAGTGCAAATCATACTTCAGAATCTAATAAAACTCAAACTCACTGATATAATCAGCTCTTGAATTTTCAAAGCAAAAAGTTTCTTGGCCCAAAATAACCTTAGTGAGGTTACACCAGGGAGAGATGAGATTCAACATGTTCTGGGTCTACCCTCTAACAATTGTAGAGATAATATAAAATGCCTGGGTGGAGCAGCAAAGCAGAAATAGCTGATTCACTGTGAGAGCAGTGTTTCCATTGTGCCTGGGAGGGTCAAATAGCATTGAAGCTCTCATTGTCTCCATCAGCTGGAAGAAAACAATTAAGAGGTTGATGGAAGTTGTGTTTTTATACCACTTATAAAATTTTATCAAATTGTTGTTTGTGTCTGGTCTTTCTTTCTTTCTTCTTCTTCGCCCATACTTGTAAACACTCCTGAACTTCAAGGTTCATATGATAGGATTATTTTTTGGATCCCACAGGAACTTTCCAGTTTATATTCTGGGAAATGTTGATTGAAGTTTGGCTTTTCTGGCTTCTCTAAGCAGCCAGAAATGGCAGTGCATGGCAGTAAATGAAGAAAGTCACAACCTGTGTAGGCTTGAGCCTAGATGTGAATAACCTTCAATGTCACCGGCATTTCTAAATATCAGTTCTTGTGTTTCATGTCTAGATAATACTGATGTTTGTCTAACCTCTCCAATGGTGTAGAAATTTAGTTTGTGTTGTAACTTGCAGACATCTCTGCCCTTTTAATGACAAGCAGCTTGAAACTATAGCAAACCAACTTATGGAAGATTAGAAATTACTTTTTTATACTAAGACCAAATTAGTCGTAATGGTTTCATGCATATTTCTGCAGTCATGCTTCAAGAAACACGGTACTTTCTCTCACTAATGGACTCACAAAAGAACCTCTTCTTCTTAAGGAAGGATTTGTCAATATAAGCCAGGTTAAAGCAAAACTGCTAGTGTCCTGGTGGGATAGGTGTGTGTGAGCTTATTCCTGTACCTCCCTGACCTATCACACTGCTGCAGCCCAGGTCCTTCTGAGGGTTTCCTCTGAATATGGTGTGAACCTCCAGGATGGAGAAGTGGTCCTCAGCTATCTCTGGTGCTAAAATCCTGGAATCCTATTTCATATTTTACTGACATGAACCCAGAGGGGGAACTCTGCAAAGAGACAAGATGTCATGAACTTGACTTAATGACATGAATGCCTCTCAGAGACATGGCTGCCTTCTTCCAAGACCCTACCTTATGTCTTCTAGTTCTAGATATACTCTCTTCCTAGCTGCTATGATATCTTGATATGTGTCCTTCTCAGTCTCTGTGAAGAACTAGGCCTTGGTGCCCAGTCATTTTTCAATGTGTCCTGAGCCAGAAATATGGGGAACTTTTTTTCTGTCCCTTTTCCTTAAAAAAATTAAGAAAGGAAAAAGAGAAAGAGAGAGAGAGAGAGAGAGACATGGGGGTAGGGACTTTTTTTTTTCTCACAATGCTTGACTCCTTAAATTGAAATTCTCATCAGCCTGCACACTCAGCTGGTAAGCTTAGTGAAATGGAAAGTTTATGTGGAGCAGATGTGAACTCCTTGCCTTGTTATGAAAAATCTCCTTTGGATTCTTTTCTTGACAAGGGTGTGCGTGCGAACAAAAATTTTCTGAAACTGCCAAGCACAAACAATCTCACAATGCAGACCTGAGAGCTGGCACAGAATGACTAGAAAAGGATTAGCTTCAGCTTCACCTATCAGGGGAGAGCTGCAGGTGCCTCTCTCTGCCCTGCCCTGGGCATGTCCCATCCCTGCATGGCTTGGCATAGCTGCAGGTAGAAAGGGTGAGTTTCAGCTTGCACGTGGCTGCATGGCTTACTACCTGAGTTTGTAGGGTTCAGAGAGAAAATTTTAGGAACAAAGGCCAGAAGAAAACCCCATCCTCAAAGTTTGGTGTTAGCTAAGACAGAGAAAAAACAGCTGTGTTTACTACAAGGCTGGGTGATTAACAGTTGTATATCATTCAGCAATTAGTATTACATAATTATTTCCGTTATGAAGAATCATTCAACAATAAATTCAGTTTCATTTCCATGTGTATTCAAGACCCTCTCTTAACCTTTACTGAGTGTCCCACAGTTTGGTAAATACTTCCACACACATAACCTCACTTAGTCTTCACAGCAAGCCCCCAAATGGGTATGATTTCCTCCCTCTGAATTTAGAGGACTTAGGGTCTTTCCACAAGCACTTAATAGCCACAACTGAACTGATACATAAGCCTTGCTCTCATAACTCCAAAGATATTTCTGTATTTCCCATTTAATAAATGTGGGAGCTGAAGTCAGATATATTCAAGCAAGAATCCAGGCTGTGAACCAAGTATATTGATTCTAAATCTGTTTTCTTAAAGTTCTTCCAAGTTCCCTTTAATTCTGACCCCTGCAAATTAGAGTTGCATGGGTACATTGAGATAAGCCCTTTTCATTAGAGGCTCTTGTAAATTTGGGGAGTACAACCCGGCTCACGGTAATTAGGAGCTTAAATAGCCTGTGAATTTGGCCTCAGGATTTCACAGAAATACTGGAATAGGGTTTATGAGGAAGATTCATCTGGTAAATTCTCCAAACTTAAAATTAGGATGTACATCTAGTCAACATGGCCATGACTTTTTTAGTCCATTTTTTAAAAAATTGGGTATGTTCCAAGTTTCATGTTTTGAAATTTTATCATCCAACGAGGTCTCAATGAGAAGAATTAGAACCATATGAACTTATTCAGAGATTAAGCTTCACTTGATACATTCATTTTTGAAAACTTTAACTTTTAGATTAATGTGCTATATAAAGTTTAGTCAAGCCTGGAAGAGGCGCTTGTCAGTTGAGTAATTCTGTGTTTGTGCTGGCACCACTCATACTAGTACTTTTTTGCCTTTGTAAGTAAACAGATTTTGTTGCTGAGATCAAGATTAGTTTGAAGGATGAGACTCAAAATGCCCACCCTTGTTCCTACTTGCTTCATTGTTTTCTGGCAATAACTAAAAGACATGATGGGTTTCGTCAGCACTTATGGTGAAAACAATGGTACTTACACACAGGCCTGATCAACTGGCAGTGCTTTTACCTGCTGGATTGAAGTTAGCTAATGAATTAGAATTACTAACCACATATATTTTAAATCAGACCTACAACATTTACTATGTTTAGTTGAGAGATCTGTGGCACAGTTTATACCCACTTTTCAAAAGGAAAGTTTTGTTCATGCATGTTATCTGAAAAAAAAAAAAAAACTTTCGCACATTACTTCTCAGCTGAGTCAGTGTTCTGAGGTCATAATCTAAATAGCTTTTTCTGAAGATTTAGAAAAAACTGCTTCATTGGATCATTCCACAGGACTAAAATATCCTTTGTGTAGAGTGTTTGGTTTTGGTGTACCAGTGTGACCATCAAACACTGCAAAAAATAAGATCTATCTTGGGTACTGTTCTATGAAAACTGCTAGTAGATTCAGGAGGTTCTGGTATCGTTGCATTTTATATTAGGAAATAGTAGCCTGTCACGGTGAAACCACGACTTCAGGAGAGCTAAGCACTATCCCAAGTAAATGGAAGCCCTTTGAAGTCAAGGGCTTATGTGCAGGTGGATTTTCATTTCTTTTCAGCTCCTACAGTGGTTACCCATGTGCATGCATACACTACACAACCACTTAAGACAACCCTGTGAACCATGTGATTTGGAGTCTAATGAAAGCTTATTTGCAGGGACAATGAGTTTTACTTAACTTTCTTTCTCCAAGATACCTGGAAACCCTGATCATCCATATCTATATTCTGTATACTCCCAACTCCTCTTTCCCAATCATTTTAAAAAAATTTCCTAGTCCTATTTTCATTTCTACTTAATTTTACATATCCCATAAACTACAAATCTTTGTAAAAATGAGGTAGAGTATAAATATGAATGTACACATGCCCCTAAAATCAGCAATGCCCTGCAGAACAGCTTGCACATAGAAGCACATTTTTTTAAAAAATGAATTATGTTGAATTGAACTAACCTGATTTGCTTTTTTCTTTCACCTTTTTTATTGGTGCATTTTAGTTGTACATAATGATGGGATTTGTTGTTACATATTTGTACATGCACATAATATAATAATACAATTTGGTCAATATCATTCCCCTTTCCACTCCTCCCCTCCTCTTACTACCTCTGACTTGCTTTTATATCCTCGAAAATAAGAAGGATAACATGCCATCAGCCCTTTTCAGTAGGTTTGATTGTCCTGTCTTTGTTAGATCCCTGATTTGGGTTTGATCATAAGAGTTAACTGTCTTTCTTTTCACAACTCAATCTGCAAAAGGGTGGGGCTCCTGGGATGTTGGAAAGTTTTGAAGAGTGTGAATCATATTGCTGAAGGCAGAACTTTGGGTACTATTTATTTGAAGGCAGAAGATGCTATCATTTGCAGCAGAATGAACTGAGCGTCAGTCAGAAAAAGTCCCTGTTTACAGAAACAGAGCCAAGAGAAAGGATGAGCACTGCTGGAAAAGTAAGAAAAATGTTCCTGTATCTCATTATGGTGGGCTAATGGTGTGGGCTTGGCTTTTAGAACTTTCAAATCCAGTAAACTAATTAAACATTTGGGGATATTTCTTGAGGAATGACGTGCCTCTTGAGTAGGCATACTGGGGGAAATCCTAGGTAAACTGTTACAGACAGTGTCAATAAAATCGAGGTTAATTTTAAAACACATGTGGAAGGCTTTCCGGTAAAACACAGAGGAAAATAGAATACTGACTTTATTCATAATTTAACTCAGAATAACTGGACATTTCCTCTGTTAAGTAAAATATTTCTATGAGGAGAATTTGAGTAGACTTTAACTGCGTTCACCTCAGTAGTTCAATAGAAGATGTGCATCTCCTTCTTGGGAACTGTTAGAAAAACGTCCTGCTATTGACAATGAAAAATGCCAAATCAATGGAATGCAAAGTGAACAACAAACGTATCATGCTTTTAAGGTTTCTTAAGAATGTATATTCTCTTAGAAAGATATTCTCCAACTCTATCCATTTACCGGCAAATGCCATAATTTCAAAGCAAAATAAGCAAATCCAAAAAAAAACAAAGGCCAAATGTTTTCTCTGATATGCAGATGCTAATTCACAAGGGGGTGGGTGGGTGGGGGCACTAGGGAAGAATAGAATTACTTTAGATAGGTAGAGGGGAGTGAAATTAGAGGAGGGGATATGGGGATAGGAAGGACAGTAGAATGAAACAGACATTATTACCTTATGTATATATATGACTGTATGAGCAATGTGATTCTACAACATGTACCATCAGAAAAATGAGAAATTATACCCCATCTATGTATGATATATCAAAGTGTCATGTATAACTAATTAAAACAAATAAAAAAAATTTAAAAAGAAAATAAATATGTAGAATTTATGAGAAAATGAAAAAGATACAAAACCACAAAAAAACATATTTTCTATCAAAACATAAGCATAAAAATTCTTTGTAAATAAGACTACATTGTAGAGTAAGTAGTATCCTTTTTAAAAACTAACAGCCAGAGTTGATAGTAACTTCAGAAATAACTTTAACATTTTATTTATCTTTTGCAAGTACATCTGTATAGTTTCTTGCTTTAAATGGGTACACAATTTCCCAAAGTGTCATGTGCCTTTAGTTGTTTTATTCTTATTTAAACAACTTTTCATTTAGCCAAACTTAAGGTTTTGGAAAAATAAAGATGGCATTTGAGGTCTGGATAATGTGATAAGGTAGGAGGCCCTATGATGTTAGAATTTGAAATAATTTTTCCCAGAATTGAACAGAACTGGAAGAGGGAGGGAGGGAGGAAGAGAGAGAGAGAGAGAGAGAGAGAGAGAGAGAGAGAGAGAGAGAGATTCTAGTTTGGGTCAGAAATCCAGCAAAACTAGTAACTTGAAGAATTAATTTTTCATTACAGAAGCTAGACACTTTACCCATAGAAATCAATGAATCTTATGGTTGAAAGGAATCTTAAAAAAAAAAAATTGCAACTCCATTCAACCAATAAATGCTCAAGAACCAGCTCTGCTATCTCTATAAAGTGGGCATCTAGCCGCTGTCAGAACATTTCCAATGATAGAGAACTCAGTGCCCTCCAAGCAGCACTTTCTAATTTTAGTTAATAATACAGTGTATAATACATGTGGCATAATAGCTATATAATTTTGATATGGTGATACCCATGCAATAGTCTGATTTGCAGAAGGTTACATATTTTTCAAGTTACTTTAGGATTTCAGTATTGATCATGAAAGAAAAGGTTCTTTTTTATATTGAGGATTACTGTTATTTCCTTTTTATATTTAAGTTATTTTTATTTTATAAAAAGTGAAAGATAATTGTCTGAGTTCACTAAGGCTGGAAAATCCAAATACCACAGACTGGATGGCTTAAGCAGCAGAAATTTGTTTTCTCATAAATCTGGAAACTCAAATTTTGAAAACTAGTGTCAATGAGCTTGGTTTCTTCTGAGGCCTTTCTCCTTAACTTGTAGATGGACCTCTTCTTGTTGTCTTCATATGGTCTTCCTTTGTGTCATCTCTTCTTATAAAGCCACCATCCTATTGGATTTGAGTTAACCTCATGACCTCGTTTTAACTTAATTACATCTTGAAAGACTCTATCTCCAAATAGGTAACCACCCAGTCTGCGGTAGTTTGTCATATTCCCAGGTACTGAGGATTGGGGGTTCTACATACTAATTTTGAGGAAACACAATTTAGCCTATACCAAGATCTTTCTAGAAAATTTGGATAATTAGAAAATATAAGGGTAAAAAATAAAGCATAATCTTACATCCACAGACTACCATTTATTTTGTTTTTGCTTTGATTCCCTCATATATTTTTCTGTCCATGTTTTATGTGGCTGAACTCACACAGCATATAAGTATTTTTATCCCATTTTCCAACTTAACATTAGTATTTTTCCAATTTATTAAAAGTAACATAAACATTTTTGAAACATGTAAGACTGATTTCTAGATTTACTATAATTAATTTCATGTTCTATTTTTGTTTACAGATTTCTCTTTATGAATGGTGCTATGATGACCTCAACTATGTATTAAGGTTTGGGGGCATTTAGCACTTCCTTAAGGTAGATTTTAAAAATCAAATTATGTGGGAAAAGTGTCAAGACATTCATCAGTATCTTGACATACACTGTAAATTACCTTCCAGAGGGGTGGGCATAAATGAGGTTAACTTTTATCATCCTTATTGCAAAGTTGTATATTCTCATTAAGTAAAACATCATTAATGTTTTGGTGTGCAGAGAAAAGGATCTCATTATTTTTATTTAAAAAACATACTTTTATGACTGAGGAAAGTAACACTTCACTATACATTAACTTGTTGTGTTTTCCTCCTTAAGTCCTTTACCTGGATCTCCTGGAGTTCGTGTATAGGAGGGAGGCCAGGAATGGGAAGACTAGTGGTCTTCATGCTTTCTTTAAAAATTTGATTAAACATCGTGGGTGTAAAGCAAGGTAACTTGTCATTTTGCTTTAAGGATTCTTCTAGGCTTACTTGTTTTCAATTTGGAAAGTTTACTTACTGTTTTTCAACACACAAATTTTTTTTCCTGAGGAGTTACTGTTTCCTTTATGATTTTTTCCCCATTATACTTTCTTTTTCTTAACAAAGCTTTTTATTTTTTAATTTTTGTTTGTTCTTTTTAGTTATACATGACAGTAGGATCTATTTTGATTTATTTATATTAGTATGGACTATATCTTATTCTAATTAGGATCCCACTCTTATGGATATACATGCTGTTGAGATTCACTGTGGTGTATTCATACATGTACATAAAAAAGTCATGTCAGATTCATTCCACTGTCTTTCCTATTCCTAACCCCTCCCTTCCCTTCATTCCCTCTTGTCTAATCCACTGAACTTCTATTCTCCCTCACCCCGCATCCTTTGTTGTGGCTTAGCATCCACATATCAAAGAGAACATTTGCTTTTGTTTTTTGGGGATTGGCTTATTTCGTTGATCATGATAGTCTTCAGATCCATCCATTTACCAGAAAATGGCATAAAGCCATTCTTTTTTATGGATGAGTATTAATTGTGTATGTATACCACAAGTTCTTTATCCATTCATCTGTTGAAGGGCACCTAGGCTGGTTCTATAGCTTAGCAAGGGTAAATCATGCTGCTATAAACATTGATATGGGGAAAATCTATAGTATGCTGATTTTAAGACATTTGGATATATACTGAGGAGTGGGATAACTGAGTCAAATGATGGATCTATTCCTAGTTTTTTGAGGAATCTTCATACTGCTTTGCAGAGTGGTTGCACTAATTTGTAGTTCCACCAACAATGTATGAGTGTATCCTTTTCCCCACATCCTTGCCAACATTTGTTACTTGTATTCTTGATAATTGCAATTCTGACTGGAATGAGATGAAATGTCAGTGTAGTTTTAATTTGCATTTCTCTGATTGCTAGAGATGTTGAATATTTTTTCATATTTTTTTTTGGCAATTCATATCTTTTCTTCTGTGAAGTGTCTGTTCAATTCTTTTTCCCATTTATTGATTGGGTTCTTTCCTTTTTTGTGTGTGTGTTAAGTTTTTTTGAGTTCTTCATATATCCTGGAGATTAATGCTGTTTCTGAAATACAGGTGGTAAAGATTTTCCCCCCATCTGTAGGCTCTCTCTTTATGCTCTTGATTGTTTTCTTTGCTGTGAGGAAGTTTTTTTAGTTTGATACCATCCCATTTATTGATTCTTTTTTTTAAGAGAGAGAGAGAGAGAGAGAGAGAGAGAGAATTTTTAAATATTTATTTATTTTTTAGTTTTCAGCGGACACAACATCTGTGTTTGTATGTGGTGCTGAGGATTGAACCCAGACCACACGCATGCCAGGCGAGCGCACTACCGCTTGAGCCACATCCCCAGCCCCCCATTTATTGATTCTTGATTTTACTTCTTGTGCTTTAGGAGTCTTGTTGAGGAAGTCTTTCCTCAGACGACATGATGGAGAGTTGGGCCTACATTTTCTTCTCATAGATGCAGGGTTTCTGGTCTAATGACTAAGTCTTTGACTCATTTTGAATTGAGTTGTGTGCAGGGTGAGAGATAGGGGTTAAATTTCATTCTGGTACATATGGATTTCCAGTTTTCCCAGAATCATTTATTGAAGAGGCTATCTTTTCTCCAATGTATGTTTATGGTGCCTTTGTCTAGTATGAGATAACTGTATTTGTGTGAGTTTGTCTCTATGTCTTCTATTCTATTCATGCCTGTTTTGATGCCAATACCATGCTGTTTTTGTTGCTATATCTCTGTAGTATATTTTGAGATCTGGTATTGTGAGTCTTAGTGTTTCTCACTAAGGATTGCTTTGTGTGTTATAGGCCTCTTATTTTTCCAAATAAATTTCATGTCTACCTTTTCTATTTCTATGAAGAATGTCACTGGAATTTTGATGGGAATTGCATTGAATCTGTATAGTGCTTTTGGTAGTATGGCCACTGACAATATTAATTCTGCTTATCCAAGTACATGGGAGATTGTTACATTTTTCTAAGGTCTTCTTCAATTTCTCTGTTAGTGTTCTGTAGTTTTCATTGTGGATATCTTTCACCTCTTTTGTTAGATTGATTCCCAAGTTTTGTTTGTTTTATTTTTGAGGCTATTTTGAATGGAATGGGTTTCCTGATTTCTCTTTGAGCTGATTTATCATTGGTGTATAGGGATGCATTTGATTTATGGGTGTTAGTTTTGTATCCTGCTACTGCCCAGAATTCATTTATGAGTTCTAGAAGTTTTCTGGGCCTTCTAAATGTAGGATCATTCCCTGTCATTCTTAAACATAAAAATTCCTCCATGTTCTTTATTATTAATGTTTACTTCTTCACTGATTGATAAAAAATTTGATTTTAAAAATAAATCTTAACTAAGAATCCATCTGGACTCAGTTTGATAATGTTGTGTGAGGCTTTTAAATTCAATGTTGGCACAAACTACACTGTGACTCTTAACAGTTTCCTTAGCAAGGCAGAGGGTGAATATTAAATTGAAACATTGATGGCTTTCAGTTACCCATCTGTCCCCAGCCTATAATTTCTTACAATTAATCTCTTTTCAAAAGCACCATTTGCCTATCTAAGGAATACTCTAGGAGTGTTATTTGACCTGTACAAAATATGTACAGGTCAAATAACAAAATATGAGATAACTCATTTTGCATCAGAACTGTGGGAATCCAGCTAGGGCAGGGGGTCTCAGGAGACAAATGGATGGTGTTGCAAAAGGCATGCGGCGAAAGGCGGTGGAGAAACAACACAGATAAAAAGTGAAGGTGCTGAATCCCAATCTTTACTTGTAAAGTTGATCATATATACTTTTCATTTTGGCAGGCTCACAGTAATTTGTGGTTACAAAACAGGAATCATTCAAAAATTTCAAAGAAACAAAATATTACGTAGCTACAATTACATAAGAAGAATGTATCTTGGCTTATGCATAAGCAAGCATTTTTACTTTCAGTTCGTGTTTTGCTTTGAGCTGCTTCTGCTTAGTTAGCTTTTAATAATAGTTAGAAATGTCCCAGACTATTGGCCGATACCTTGACTATTCTTTCTTGACTGACTGACTAGATTAGGCACCACGGTTATGGTAAGTGGTTAACTTGAAAAGAGAGGCTACTAATTTTAATCAAACAAGTGTAAGAGCAACAAACCATTGTGCACAGGAACAAGAACAAGTTGCCCAGTACTAAGCACTAATCTGTCTTCTTAACATTAATTCTTCTTCTCTAGATTTTAATTTAATTTCTCAAAAACTTCCTTGACAGGAATACAGGGAGTTTTTCATTAGACATTAACAATTTACGTTCCACAGCTGAATCATTGTATTTAGAGCAAGCAGATCCATTCTTTAGAAGTAGTTGCATTAATTGGGGAAGTCATGTTTTTTCCTTCATACTTAATGGTCATATGAGAAGTCACAACTATACTTATTAAAGGAGTACAAAAACAAACCAGCCCATTCTCAGAAACATACTGTGCTCCTCCAGAGGATGGACGCCTTGCACCATCCACCTCAGTAGGGCCTTGCCTTTGCCTGAGTTAGGGGAGGGGCACAGCATTTCCCCCATTTTTATTTTTTAATTTGAGGTGTTCGACTTGGACGGAGATGCTTTTGATTGACTTCCAGACAAGTCTGAAGAGGACTGGAAGAATGAGACAAATAAGAACAATGAATAAAAAGCCAAAACCAATATTAATCATATATGACCACCAAGTACTATTGGAAATAGTTTTTTTGTACATTATTGTATAAATCTGCAGCAAAATCAGCTGTAGAGTCAGTAGATAAATAAGCCTTACTTATATCTTTTACTTGTTATTGTAAATCTTGTATATTGGGGCCTATTTCAGTTTTATTCCAAATCCCTAATAAATGAGTTTGTACTTGATTCCATCCATATTTAGTTTGCTTATATTTTAAGGGAGTAACACAGATCCATTTGAAATTAGCATGACATTTGGTTGTCATTTGAGTTTTTATATTTTGAATCTGGTTTCCTACATATAATAAAGCTTCCTCTAAGGCATTAATTTGGGTCTCCAATTTCTTATCTATTTTTTCTTGAATAGCTGATGCTAATGAAACATTATGAGATAAATTATTAACATGATGAAAAGTATGAATTTCTTTAACTAAATCTGTAGTAGATAAAGCTAAAGTAGCAATAATTCCTATTAATGCCGTAATTCCTAAAATTAATGCTGCAACAAATCGCTTAGGTCTAATTATTTCATTAAGTTTCTTAAGAATTTGTGACCCTTCATCATCATACCAATCATCATTAAGAAGGACAGGAATCATTACATAGGAAGGCTGATGTGTAATTAAATATTTTATAGGCATCCTAGACAAATTTGTGAGAAGATGGGAGGCTCTCTTTTTTTCTCTCTCTCTCTCATAAAAATTTGATAATATTGATAAACCATTTAATTGGATAACTCTAGCAAAACCAGTTAACTAACTGAAGGCCAATCACTGAGTATTTCCCACTTCTCAAGATGAGAATCTCTAACTTGCCTAAAGATTAAGACCTACTAGTGAAATCTCAGCCTGGTACAAAAAAGTTTACAAGGACTCAGATGACATCATCCAGGAATGTAGTCACAGTGCCTGTACTTCCTGATGTTCACAGTTCCCTTTACCTCTTATATGTTGATTCTCTAGATTCTTCACCATTGCGATGTGATTATATGCAGCAATTAAACACTGGCTTAAAATCTTGTGGATAAATCTGCAGCATTTTATTTTATTGATTTGCTTTTTGTGAATAAAGAATGCATTGACAACAGTTTTATTAATTAGTGCATTTACAGTTGTAACAAAAGAAACCTGTTTATTGGAATATTATGTAAAAAAAAATGGGTTGGAAGAAGTGCACCTCAGATCTAGTCCAACCCTGTACCTCATGTGCTATGTGACAATGGATCAACGATCATTTTATCTTTCTGGGCTGCATTTCCCATACCATAAATAAAGATATCCACAAATAATCTATAAGGCTTAAAATTCTGGCGTTTGATGAAAAACATCTGAGCAAATTAGAATATTGCATTCAATCTTCTGCGTGTGTATACACACACACACGTGCACGCGCACACACACACACATATATAAAATTTAGGGAATCTGTGTTTATAAAAACATAATTAGGAAGGATTATAACATTCGCCAATTTTTTAGGTTATTAAGTGCAAAGCTGCTGTGCTATGGGAACTGAATCAACCCTTCTCCATTGAGGAAATAGAAGTTGCCCCACCAAAGGCTAAAGAAGTTCGCATTAAGGTAAGAAAGAACCTCAGACCATATAAGCCTGTAATTTTATCACACTTATATTGAGAAAATTATTGTTGGGAGATTAGAGTATTAAATAGAGAGATGTTTGCCAAGTTTTCAGTCTTAATTCTCCCACTGGTTCTTGTATATTGTTAAAGTAATCGTTGCCCTACTGTGAAATTAAAAGTTTATTACCAATTAATAAAACAACAGTGCTAATCGATTTGATCTATTAAAGTTTTCATTTGTATTGATTAAAAAATGATTAGTAGTTATGACTAATGATTTCTTTAAAAATCTTCTGGGAGTCAAATTGTATGGAGGTAAATTCTCACATAAAATGAGGAACTCATTTGTGCCTGGGAAATGACAGCTTCCTGGGGTGTTCCCCCAGTCCTGTAGACAGAGTCTGACTTTTGGTTTGGACACCTGTGACTGAATAGGCATTGCTGTCGATCTCTCTGACCCTCTTCCATCATTTGAATACTGCAGTTACAGTAAAATTTTGTTCCTCATTTGTCTTTTTATACACCATTCCCTCTACTTTTTATTAAGAGAGTCCTAGGAGGACTTACTATAAAAATCACCTGATGTGAGTTACATGGTAATATCTCTATTCTGGTTCCCTCACAAGAGTACCAGTTTATTATAGAAAAGTCATCAAGATTTAATGTAGGGCCAGAGTCAGTAATATTACAAATTCCTTAACAGGAGGAATTTGTCTGATGGTTGCTTTTTGGCTTAGAATCTTCTAAGAGTCAACACTATTAAATAAGATAATGACCTGGAAAAAACAATTACAATCTCTTCAAGAGCCAGTTTAATATTAACCAACTGTAAAATGAATGACCAGTTTACAGTTTTCTGGTTGGTAATTTTTTTTTTAACACAGATTTTGGCCACAGGAATCTGTCGCACAGATGACCATGTGAAAAAAGGAGCAATTGTTTCTAAATTTCCAGTAATTGTGGGACATGAAGCAACTGGAGTCGTGGAGAGCATTGGAGAAGGAGTCACTACAGTGAAACCAGGTATGCAGATGTCAATCCCAACTTTGCATTAAGTAGGCTTCTATTAAAGAAATAGCACACACTAGGAATTAAAGTCTTAACCCACTTTAGGGAGACAAAAGGACACAAGGAGAATGGATTGGACTAAATAATGCTAAATTTGGCAAAATCTCAAATTTTAGCATGCAAATTTCATGGTGCTTATAATACTTTTAAGAAACTGTTATATGTAGGATGGGCTTGATGCACTTTTTTATTTCACATTTTAATATTGATGAACAACACCTTATGTTTTTCCTCTAGGTGACAAAGTCATCCCTCTCTTTGTGCCACAATGTAGAGAATGTAATGCTTGCCGTAACCCAGAGGGCAATCTTTGCATCAGGAGCGAGTAGGTTTCGGTCATTCTTATCCTAATGTCATGTAAGTTGTTTCCTGTGCTAATTTTTTAATTGAATGAGCTAATATGTGCTTTTGATTTATCAAATAGTATTACTGGCCGTGGAGTACTGGCCGATGGCACTACCAGATTTATGTGCAAGGGTAAACCAGTCTATCACTTCATGAACACCAGTACATTTACTGAATACACAGTGGTGGATGAATCTTCCATTGCCAAGATTGATGCTGCAGCTCCTGCTGAGAAAGTCTGTCTAATTGGTTGTGGATTTTCCACTGGCTATGGGGCTGCTATTAAGACCGGCAAGGTAAGAAGCAGCGTAAACTCGTTTCTTCCACTTTTCGTTACTTACTTACCTCATTTATTCCTCCCTTGGGATCCTAAAGATATTTGAAAATAAACAGACAAGCAAAAGATGCTGAAAACATGTTGCATGTTTTCAAGGCTATTTCTATATAATACCATGTCAATTGGGGGGGAAAAAGAAACAGACTGGGAATTTTATTTCCAAATAAATGGAAACAAAATTTCTAGATTTACTTTTTGGTTCCTTTGCATCTTCTTTTGGTTCAATTTCTAAAATTTAGATTTGCATCTAAAATTAATCTGTTTTTTAAAGTATATTAGTATTGATTATTAGTTTGCTAGAGCTGCTATAACAAAGTGCTATAGACTGGGTAGCTTGAACAACAAAAATTTATTGTCTCACAGTTCTGGAACCAGGGGTCCATAATTAAAATGTTGGCAGGGCTGGCTCCTTCTGAGGGCTGCAAGGGGATGATATAATACAGGCCTTTCCTATTGACCTGCAGATAGATGAACATCATCTTCCTGTGTCTCTTCACATCATCTTCCCTATATGTGTGTCTTCATATCCAAATTTCCTTACTTTATAAGGACACCAGACATACTGGATTAGGGCTACATAAGTCAGTTTTATGTTGCTATTACAAAATACTCATAAAGAGTAAAATCATTCTAACAATGGATAATTACTGAATTAGGGGTGTATAAGTCATTTTTATGTTGTTATTACAAATTATTAATAAAGAGTAAAATACTGCTAAAAATTCAATAAATCCCCATACTGTGGTGTTCTCATTCAATTCCAAAGTCTTTAAAAGTTATGAATGTATTAGTTGATTCCAAATTTATATTTCAAACCATCTCAGAGCCTCAGAACTTTTTATCCAACTCCCTGTTTTCACCATGTAGACATCTCACAGATATCTCAAACTATGTACAAAACTAAGTTCTTAATTTTGCCTTCTACCTGCCCATCAAATATATTTGCTCCCTCTCTCCATTACCTGACATCCAGTTCAACTATATGTCCCATTGACTGTACCTATGAGTTATATGTTAAATCTCACCATTCTCTTTAACTCAGTCCCATCATCACAACTGAACCGGATAGATATAACATGTTCCATACTATTTTCTTCCTTGCTCTTCTTGACCATCTCTGATAATTCTTTATTTACAAGACAGAGTAATTGTTGTACAAGATTATTTTGACTGTCTGGAATAATTGATCACTCAGTCCTTGTGACTGGCTCCTTAGCATCACTCTCAGTTTAAAGATCACCTGCTTTCTCAAAGAAGTTCTTTTGTTTGTCCTCCGTCTACTCCATCTAAGTAGCAACCCCTTCTAATTATTCAAGAAAGAGTGATTGTTTCATTAATATTGTGTGTCCCGAATCTGAAGCTGTCACTGTATCTTCAATCTTCTCCATTAAACTCTAAGCCCTAGAGGACATCTACAAACTCTGCTTTATTTACTCCAATGTTTAGCCAGAAGTCTTGTCATTGAAACAGCTTAATAAACATTAATTGAAGAAAAAGATGTATAGATGAACTAAAGAAAGGAATATCCAAATTTGTGGAAGAACAAAAAGATGAGTGGGCTTGTGGTAAATAATATATCTGGATGTCAAGGTAGACATATTTATTCCTAACAGGGGTTCAAGACAGGTCTGCAGTTCAGAATGTATAGTATTATCATGAATACACACCAGTAGCGTGTTTGTTACCATTTGCCTCTAGATTTTCTAGGCAAAACCTTGGAGATGGAACTTTCCTTTCCAAGGTCTCCTTCAGATTTTCCACTAAGAATTTTCTGCCAATATAGATGTAAAAGAAGGGACACTCAATATAGCTTTAATTCACTCTTTGTAATTTTTCTTATTGTACTTGATATGTTGATACCATACGAATACTTCAGAGTTATGCTGTTTACCAAGAAATTTGCTATTTTCAGATCTTTTTTTCTGGTACTTGTATTTTAAGACAAATAACATAAATAAACCCAAATTTTTGTGTTTGCCTGTATGAAAATAAGCCAAATTCACTATAAGGGCATAATAGCAGACCCTCAAATGCCCCTCAGTTTCAATGATTCACAAGAAGGTTTCAATAACTCAGACAAGTTATTATGTTCTTGATCATCATTTATTGCAATGAAAGAGTATAGATTAAAATTAGCAAAGGAAAAAGACATAGGGTATAGTTCCAGTGAAACCAGCCACATGCTTCTGAGAATCTCTTCCAAGGGAATTACAAGGACAGTGCTTAATTCTCCCAGTAATGGTGTGGAACAATGCATGTGTTGCCAACAAGGAAAGCTCACCTGTGTGCAGGGTCTTTATTGGGAGCCAGTCACGTAGATATGCAGCACCCATGTGACCAACCTCAGCACTCATACCGTAGCCCACCCCAAAAAGGTCAGCTTAATAGCCCAAAGCAAAATATAGGAATTGATTATAAATCACACTGTTAACATTAACTGTAAGTCTTGACCCAAGGTCTCAGTTATACACTCTTATCAGGCAGAATATTTCAAAGACTCAAAAGTTCTCTTCCAAGAGCTGATCAAGGGCCAGTCCTGAAGACCTTTGACTTCAATGTTTTTAACTGGGGAACACTAAGAGATCAGATCCATGAAATAAAACAATGGTGAAAAGTAGAGCCTTACTATATTTTAAAATAATAAAATCATTTTAAATGACCTATAATTACTTCAGACTAAGGCCTTCTTTCACAGTATTGATAATGTAGATAATTCATTATACATGTTATTATTTAGTTCCTATTCCTCAGAAAAGAAAGGTTAGGAAAGGGGGACAATCTATTTGAGGGGAAATGTCTGGAAGTTAACAGAAATTGGGGCCATGATTCGTTAAAAGACTCAGAGGCAGAATGATAGGAGAATCAAAAAACTAGCACTTAACAAATAAGCAACTAAACACAGGGAGAAGTCTTCAGTGGTTCCATTTTTTAGTTGTTAGGAAGATATTCCTCAGACTCTCCATAGCCTAGGGCTTCCAGGGATTCAACCAGGCAGGCGAAAGAGGTCCCAGAGACAGAGCTAGATCATAAGATTCATACCTAATTCTAGAGCCTGAAATTCAACCACTATCAAAAATTCCCTCTTAAATGTAAACAATAGAACTAACTGATAAATGGGAGAAAAAGCAAGGAGTGTGCAGTTGAGTTTCTGGCATAAGAATGCTGATCACCCATAATTATTGTGTTGTGGTCTATTTGACTCTTGAACTTGAGGAGAGTTTGTTTTATGAACGTTGCAGCACCATTATTTGTCATGTACAGCCATAGGAATGAGAAGTTGTGCTCCACTTGTGTATAATGTGTTAAAGTGCATTCTACTGTCATGTATAAACTAGAAAAAAATAAAAAGTATATAGAATTTTTTATCCAACCAAAAAAAAAAAAAAAACAAAAGAATGCTGATCACCAGGAATCAAACAGTAATGCAAACAGATGAATCAATGATGGAATGATACTTGAGAGAACAATTATCTAGATTCAAAATCTCCAACTCAAGAGCTGAACTGAGGCATTAGGATGCCATTGCCAAAATTAAAAATCATGGAAGGTGGGTGCACAGACCTGTGCAATTTTCTGTGGACTCTCTGCTTACAGGTACAGACATTTCAATGCATATTCTTTTATATATATATCATGTGGATTGCTTCTTTAGGTACTTCCTGCAAGGGAGGACAGAGCCAGAGTACCTGGAGGTTTGAAAACATGCCCAGCTCTCCCATATACCTTTGCATTTAAGAAAATGAAAAAATAACTATCCTAATAAAGATCACACCCTTTCCATGGGCTCTCTTGTGTTCAGGCCCCCTCCTGGCTACTTAATGTAAAATTGGAATAGGGTTCTTCTGGCAGGAAAATAAGTTTGGACTGGACATTTTTTTTTTTTTTTTTTTTTAGCATTAGGGATTTAACCCAGGCTTGTTCTATCTCTGAGCTAGATTCCCAGCCCTATTTTATTTTATTTTGAGACAGGTTCTCACTAAGTTGCCCAGGCAGGTCTCAACTTTATAATTCTCTGTCTTCAGTTTTCTGAGTTGCTTTGATTACAGGATTATAGATGTGTGCTACTGCATCCAGCTTTTATGTCTGGGAGTGGGTACTGGAGATTTTACCCAGGGATGCTCTACCACTGAGGTATACTCCCAGCCCATTTAATTTTTTTTTATTTTATTTTGAGGTAGGGTCTCACTAAGTTGCCTAGGCTGTCCTGCAACTTGAGATCCTTCTGCCTCAGCCTCCCAAGTCACTGGGATTGTAAGTAGAGTGCTTCTGCACCCATCTTGAAACCTTTTTTAGTAGCATAGGATTGGGTTAAAATGCCAAAATTGATTTAATTACATTTCCTTTTTGAAACTACATGTGGATCAGATCTAATTGCAACATGGAGGTTGGACTTTACTGAAAAACCAAATTATTCACAAATTACTCAGAGTCATGTTTATTCAGAAAATATTAATCATAATGAATTTAAAACAAATTTAACATGATTTGAGAAGAGATAATAGAGGGCTTGGTGTTTGTCAATCATGCTGTAAGGGTGAGGAGGCACAGGAGGCTGAGGGTGAGGCCAAGAAGCCTGCGGAAGTTTCCATAGGGAAGGCTGCATGAGGAAACCATTTAGAAAGGGTTTCCATTTATCTAAGGAACAATGTTTTTGTTTTGGCAAATTCTCCTTTTCTCAGGCCTTCTATTGTTTCTATTCTCTCTGTGGCATTATCATCGTGATGATTCATCCAGTCCTAGAGAACATCATAGCAATCCTCTGAATTTAATACTGGCGATACTTTGCGGCTCTCACCTTTAACATTTACAGGAGGCTTTCTCTCCCGCAGGTCACCCCTGGTTCTACTTGTGCTGTCTTTGGCTTAGGAGGAGTTGGTCTGTCGGTCATCATGGGCTGCAAGTCAGCTGGTGCCTCCAGGATCATTGGGATTGACCTTAACAAAGACAAATTTGAGAAGGCCTTGGCTTTAGGAGCCACTGAGTGTATTAGTCCCAAGGACTTTACCAAGCCCATCAGTGAGGTGCTGTCGGAAATGACAGGCGACACTGTGAAGTACACTTTTGAAGTTATCGGGCATCTTGAAACCATGGTAAGAGTCAAGATTCAGGAAGCTACAAAATACCAAGCATTAGATTTGCACAAGTTAAAACCCATTTTCCATAGCTTTACTAACAACCAATTATGGAAATATATGTTACTCAGGTAACCACACAGCAGGTTTACCTAAAAAGTCAAAATCTCAAAGAGTGGTTCTACTTGATCAAAGTTAGGTATCACATCATACCACTCTCTTGCCACTTGAGGGCAAGGTAATCGACCCATCAACATAGATTTTTCAAGTGTTATCTTCCATGTATGTGTGGGATTCTTGGCAAAGGTGATTCCATCTCTGGAATTTTATTTAACAATCCAAGTATCACAAGGTTACTTCTTGAAGAGAGATACGAGAAACTTCAGGGAAAAGGGACTGTTCTAAACGCTGCCATCTCTTCCCCCAAATCCATGATCTAACATCTTCTCATTCTTTTCACCTGAGCTTTGTTTTCCTTTGTCTAAATACCTTTAGAATATCTTCCTTCAGTATTCTAAAACATGCCTCCTCTGTGGCAGCCAGCAGCACCAGACTCCATTTAGATCTGAAATCCAGAGCTTCTGGAATGAGAAATCCCTGACCTGGGGTAGGTTAGGGAGGCCTAGAAAATGAAACTAAGCCACTTTCAGTATATTTTCTTTAAGGCTTTTGGTGATTTAGGGATAAGTAGCCTTTAACTTACTATTATTGCCATATCGTTTTTCTAATAATACTTAGGAAATTCCATAGCAACAAATAGTACTCTAGGTGTGGTGTGTTCACCAGGCAATATGCAATACTGGACATATTATTAGGTTCTACTGATTTGCAGGTGGTGCTTTGAGAAACATTGGTCTCTGAAAAATACCAACAATTGTTACAATCTAGCAAGAACTACAACATGCTATTAATAAATAATAGAATTGGTAAATGACCAGAAAATATGAGGCTAGACTCAGATATTGCCAGAGAGAGAGAGAGAGAGAGAGAGAGAGAGAGAGAGAGACTTTACTTTATTCACATTTTCATATTAAACTTAAAAAAACCATACTAATTGACTAATTCAATTTCATTAAGTGCAAATGACTTCTTAAGGCTTATCTGAAGTGGTGATGTTAGTATGAAAACATCACAAGGATTTCCCACGTTTTCAGTTTATGGTACACTAAAAACTTCCTGGATATGACCACATTAATTACTGCCTTATGCTTCAAAATGAAAATGTGTGTAGGAGTTTAATTAAGGACTTAAGTTACATTGAGAATTTTAAAAGCAAGCAGAAAATGAAAGGCCTGTGGGCCTAATTTAATTTCATGACTTGGAAACTGAGCTAATTACCAGAACGATGAGAGTTAGTTCATAGGTCATTTCTGATCCCATGAAATATTATAAGAGAACTAAGAAGCAGACCATCTCCCTCATTCTCCATTCAGGTCGATGCCCTGGCATCCTGCCATGTGAACTATGGGACCAGTGTGGTGGTAGGTGCTCCTCCATCAGCCAAGATGCTCAGCTTTGACCCGATGCTGCTCTTCACTGGGCGCACATGGAAGGGGTGCGTCTTTGGAGGTGAGGACAGTAGAGCCTCTGGACAGGGCATGATGGCTTTCCCTCTGTTGGTTGGCAAGTGAGAGAAGCCTGCTATGTCATCACATTGTCCTTACAAATCTTCCTTCTAAGGATGAGTATGAAATGATCTAAAATGGAACTGTGACCAAAACACACAAAAGATGATTATCCAGTCCTCTCCTTGACTTAGGGCTAATAATGGTGGGCATAATTTTGTTTTGTTTTATTTTTTTGTTTTGGGTCGACACAATATCTTTATTTATTTTTATGTGGTGCTGAGGATGGAACCCAGTGCCTCACGCATGCCAGGCCAGCCCACTACCACTTGAGCCACATCCCCAGCCCCACACATTTTTAATATTAGCATGTGCAAGTCGAGTTCCCCAAAGGCCTGAATAAAAGGCACCAAGTGGCTCTGTTGGAATGACTTATGTGATAGTTAGTTCTGATGTAACTTTTTATTCTCCAAAGACACAGAATGTGTGTGAAAAACAGAATTTAGTAAATTCACAATAACATCAGTAAAAGTTCTGAATCCCAAACCAAAATAAACAAACAAAAAGGAATTGTTGCATTCTTTAGGGACAGTGCAGATTCATACCAGAATGAGAAAGCCATGAAGAAAGGACCAGAGCTGCCCCCCGCTCGGTTGGTGACACAGTGAATCCTGTTATTCCTCTCCTCCTTGGGGTCTCAGTTTTCAGTGTCTTACGTTTAGAATTTTGCCAGGTGTTTTGGATGCACTTCCAATATTACATACAGCCTCATACAGCCTCATACAGCTTAAGTGAATAATAACTATTCAAGAACTTGTTAAGAACATAAAAAGAAAAAAATGATTATTCTTCAATTAGAAGTACATAATTTATTGAAAAATGCAAATACAAGTATTAAGGAAAAAATTTCAAAACAAATGTATTAGAAGCCATGAAGCTGGAGTAAATGTAGTTAGCAAGGAGAAAAGGTCTGAGAACCAAGCCCTGGGGCACAGGAGAGTGAGAGGTCGGTGAAATGTGGGGGATTCAGAAGAGTTCTTGTTTTCTAGTGAAGTGGGAGAACTATGATGGCAATTAGAAACCAAGTGAATGGAGGGAGAAGAAGGGAGCCCCCAACTCCAACAAATCCACCTCATAGTCCATCTAAATCCAGGACTCAGAGCTGACTACTGTGTCACAGTGGAGACCAAGCATGACCTTGACAGAGCTGCTTTACCTGTGTGCCGGGGAAAAGAGCCTGATCAAAGTGGGCTCGTGAGAGAATGAAAGGAACTGGAACCAGAAACAGGATGTGGGAAACAGCTCTTTCTGTGGTTTATTGGCAATGGGAGTAAGATATGGGGCAGCTGGGAGGATGTACAGGGATTATGAAAGGTGTTTTAGCCTTTGATTCTTAAGATGGGAGAAAAACACCTCATTTATATGCTGTTGGGAATGTTCCAATGTGGGGGCAGGTAGCAAAGCAGGAGAGAGGAGGCATAAATATAAAATAATAAAAGATAATTTAGTGAAGTTTAAAGAGAAGATTATGTGCTTATTTACAGGTTGGAAAAGCAGAGACGATGTACCCAAACTAGTGACTGATTTCCTGGCAAAGAAATTTGACCTCAACCAGCTGATAAGCCATGTTTTACCATTTAAAAACATCAATGAAGGATTTGAACTGCTCTATTCAGGGAAAAGGTATCTATTTTTTATGCTAATCTAAATATTCTCTGAACTTTTTTTTTTTAACACCAGATTGATTTCACCATGGTTCTTTCATTTTATCATAAAGCTGTTAGGTTATTCAAGTAATACCACACAATTCCCTTCCTTTACAGTTTTCAAAGTGATTTTTCAAATGTGCTTTCTTTGGATCCTTGTAGATCAAATATTATGATTCCAGTTTTTAGTTGACAAAACTCAAGTCCTGAGAGGCAAACAAATAACATATCCAGCCTGAGAGCAGTGCCAGGATGCAAACTCATTGCAAAGCCTTTGTTCTGTTCACCATGTGCCAAACTTCTCTGGCAGGGCTTGGCAAGCTCCAGGTAAATGTGGGTATTCTCAAAGTGGTTTCTCTTGTAGCTTCTGAGGGTTGGGAAATAGTAAAGGTGGAATACAAAGAATTCACACAAATTTCAAGTGCATTTGCCTATGATTAGCTGGATCAGCAACTAAAGAGCCTCTCTGTGAGATATCATTCATTGGGTTCATAAATATTTTTTGAGCATCTGTGATGTGCCAAGGACTTGGATTTCATTAGTAAAAGGAAATGTACATTAATTTGAGATCCAAATTTTCACCAATTTTTCCCAAGTGCTTTTTCAATGTTGTGTCTTGTTTCTACATCTGGTATAGTCTACAAGACTATGATATTATGAGCACACATGTGAATTATTTTTAAACAAGTAAACCATGGACCTCTGTCAGAAAAACTATCAGTACCCAATACACCTGTATTCAGATAAACTTACAGATTATAATATTACTATTGTTATTAAAATTATTTTATTTTTATTATATTGTTTATTGCAATATTATATTACATATTAACATATGCTATTATATTATTTATTTTATTGTTGACTAAAATTATTAAAAATAATTACTATTGTTTTCCAAAGAAACAGATCCTGCTTTCAGAAATTTTGCTTCTAATGTCACCCTAATTCAGTGACTCCTAGAATAAGATATATTCCATGCTTGTATAACTAGATCAAAATGGATTCTGTGGTTATATATAACTAAAAAGAACCAATAAAAAAGAAAATAACCCACTTACATTTGTAAGCCCACACTCTTTAATTTCCATCTACTTCCTGCATACCTCTACTTGAATGTCCCATTCACCTCAATTTCACCCCCAAAGAATTCTTTCATAGCATATCTTATTTCAGCAAAATAATGTCACTTATTCTGCTTTCACAGACTAGAAGCTATAGCATCATGTCTGACTTCTCTTCTACTTCTCCTGCCATGAACAAACCATTGTGAAGCCCTGAGGTGCAGCCCCTCATTTCTTCTCCAGCATGGCTCCCTCTTTACTGCCAACCTCCGTAGCCTTAGCTCAGTCTGATCATGGCTCATATGAACATGTTAACACAGTGGCTTAATAATAGGTCTGCTGTTTTCTATGTTTTCCCATATTCATCAGTCCTTCACTAAGGTGCTAAGTTTAGGTTGCACCAAAATGTAAATGCCTGAGCACCACTTTGAAAGCCTTCATTATTGAGTCAAAGACTATTTTCATTTATTAATTCATCTAATCTTTTAATAACTAAGAGTTTAGCACCCATTTTTTGTAGTCTTTGAACTAAGGATAGGGATAAAGTAGGAAAATAAGTTTTGTCTACTTTTACAATCTCTTGAACATCCAGAAGTCTAAGCACCTGGGATTGTCCTTCCTATTCTCCCATCCTCAGCCCTAATTGTGCTCTCTTCAGCCTGAAAGCCCCTATCCTCTAGTCAACTTATTGCAATGACCTGAAAGCCCCTATCCTCTAGTCAACTTATTGCAATGACCTGAAAGCCCCTATCCTCCAGTCAACTTATTGCAATGACACTAATGCTTCCAGAATCAGCTCACAGACCTTTATCAGAGTTTATCAGAGGTGCACAGAAAGAAAAATAATTGACGAGGACCTCAAGCCCAGTTGGTTTTCCAATAATAGGATTTACTTGAATTTTCTATAACAGGAAGGACAATTGTGTAAACTACTCTTGTTTAAAAAAAAATTTAAACAAATCACTAAAAATTCTCATTTTACATTTCAGCATTCGAACTGTCCTGACATTTTGAGATCCTAAGTGACAAGAGCCCTGTGTTTTAAGATGGTGACCTGGAGCTCTCCTTCTTACAAATCTCTCCTCTGAGATTATGGATGTGTCTCAAAACACAAGAGAAGTAGAAGATTTCACATAGAATCTTTATAAAGGTTGACAACTTTCATAAAGATTTAGTTTCTGAGCGTGTGGGAGTTACCAGGAGATTTTCCAAAGCTGTAATTTTATATTTTAAAAAACATATATTTGCTAAAATTAAGCTCATTTAAAGTTGTGTTCCAAGGATAGGTTTTTGTTGCTGTTGTTGTTGTAAAGATTACTTCGATGTCAAAGTTAAACAGCGGATATAATAGAAAACTTAAGTAAAGTTTTGGGTAAATTGTAAAAGGTATTTAGGTTTGTAAAAGAGTTTTAAAAGCAAGTAAAACTTGTATGTAACTGACTTGCTATCTATATGGGTTTTTGTAGAGGCTAAATAGGCATCAAAGATACATTACTGTTTGTTTTGTATTTCCCTTGTAAAACCTTATAACTGTTGCCTGTTAATGTTTTGCAGAAATAATACTTCTAACAGAACAACCTGAACTAATTTGTGACAATAAGTCATCACCTACAGGACAGACAGGACATAATCCTGGCTTCCAGTACTAATATTGACCCCAATTAAATGAAAAGGATAACTGTAAAATTACAGATATTGAAGTTATAACCTGTTATTCCCACTTTAAGATTGATAAAACTGGTCTTCTGGGTAATTAAATCCAAAAACTTGTAGACCAAAGTCAAGGACATAAAAGGGCCAAGGAAAAAATCAGCCAACATTTTAGCCCTTGCCCTCTAAAGTCAGCCACGGTCCAGAGAATGAGAGGACCTCTCTAAAGTCCCTGCAACTCCAGAGAGTCACCCAATCTGCCAGAGAGATTGAGAGGACACTAGAGATCAGGAAGCCAACTGCAAAGAGGAGGGTCATTGGAGAGGGAAATGTCCCTGAAGCTTCTAAGAGAAGCCACATATGGCCAGCAAGACACTGACCTATCCTGGCAGATGGCACCACTGGTAGAGGATCCTAGAAGCTTCACACACATCCAAGAATTGATCCCTGAGCAATTTCAGCTGACTCTTAAAGGTAGATAGGAACAAGGTCAGTTTTGACCAACTTGGTCTTAAACACCTGGCAGAAGGGTATAGCTAAAACACAGTACTACATGAACATATAAAAGGAATAATTTTTTAAATATAACTTAAGATATACACTTGTGCAGCCGTATCTAAAGCAAGTAAAGCTGGAGGCTAGAAAGGAAGGGTTTTTGTGGAAGAGTGCCTAATAAAAATGATCACAAAGGATTCTAGAGTCACAGGTTTGTCCTGAGTCAATTTGAGCCTGATCTCAAACCTACAAAATCTTCCTAACTTCCTACATAAAGTAACTTGATCTGTTTTTCACTGATATGATTATGAGTTACTATCTTTGTGGTTTTCAGAGACTGGGTGAAATAATAATTGTTTTTGTGTTAATTGTTTACAAAAAAAGTAATGCTTTCCTATCTTGTTTATTGTCTCAGCATAATTCCTGCCCTATATAACCTTGTCCAGTTACTCATCAACTGCTACTATCGACCTCTGGACTGCCCTGGTACTGGATACCATTAATTGTCCATGCCCAACCTGATAAAGAACAAGGAGTTTGGGTCACTTCCCCCAACTTTGCCCTCTCAGCAGGGAGAAGCTTGGAGCTGTTGCCACCCATTTTCCATGGACATGGAATGTAGAAATTGACAGTGTGGAAACGCAACAGTGGTCCACTTTATGCTTTGAATATAGCTCTGCCACTGTGGCTTATTTTTAAAACGACATGTTTCTTTCTCTTCCTCTCTCCCTGCTTCTCCCTAATCTCTCCTTCTCCCTAATTTCAGGGGAAACAGGATTACCTTTCCTCCCCAACCTAGGCAGAATTGTCTGTCTACAGGAATCAAGTAATTCCGACTTTAGGAATGGCACCAGAAAATCTCAGAAATGACTATTGCTCAAATTCACAAGTGAATTACAACTTCAGACAGAGAACACATGGAATGTAGCCTTTGAATCACCTCTTTAAAAGTCCCCTGTTCCTGCTAATGGGCAGAATCACAGCCTCTGGGACAGGAGTCCCTGTGCTTCTCCTTTGCTAGTAAAGCAATAAAACTTCTTTTTCCTTTTTCTCACTCACACATTTGTGTGATGAATTTGTGTGATGAAATAATGATGTTTTTTCAAAAAGTTTTAATCAACTGCTATGACTTAAAGCAGATACAGCATACAATGGTATAGTAAGTGTATTTCCTAAAGTAATATTCATTGAACACTTTGTAACTATTCTTCTCTGGATTTGAATATAAATTTTTTTAAACACCTGTTATAAATTAACTTAAAGTATGTTGTGAAATGAGCTCATTACATTGTACACATTATTTGATTAGATTAAGAAACTGTGAGAATTTAGGGAAAAGTAGATTTTTAAGTGATTAACTTTTAGAATTATCAGCATATAACTTGGTGAAACTGGAAAAGTATAACCTAAGGGCATATGAGGCTATTAATGTCTTATAATATATATATATATATATATTTTATAATATCACTTAAACAGAGCACAGGATGGAGTAACTTACAATATTTATCATAATATTCATTTTAATAAAGTAGAATTATAAGTCTTTAAGTCTCTATTTACTTAGAGATGACTTCATTTAGCAAAAAGTGTTTTCAGTTTGCTACAACTGCACTGACATCTATATTATCTTTCCTCTACTGTGAATGAACAAGAACTTTACTTAGAATTTAAGTGAACGGTTTAATTAAAAATAATTTTTACTTGGATTGACAAGTGCACATTTGAAAAAAATAGATATGGCCTTTTAACTTCACTAGTATTTTATGTTTCAATGCAAGTTTTGGCAAAGAACCATATAATCCCATAACTGCCTGGCATGGATCAAGTTAAGTACTATTCATCCAGCAAGGCTGTTTAAAAAGTAAACTTTCCTATTTGAAAAAAAAGTGCAAATATTGAAGATAGTAGATTACAGTTTCAGGTGAGAACAGGAGATGGTGGCTTGATGGATGTGGCCTGAGTATGATCCTAGTTCCACCTCTAACTGAAATCCTGAGCACCTGTTTCCTGAGGTTCTTTATAGCTCCAATTCTCAAAGGCTCTAACTAGAATGAGGGCTTGAAATAATCATAAACTTGGTTTCTCTTCATTTTGAAGACTGAGGAGTATCTATTTAGAAACAAAAGGTTTTAAAACACTTTCAATTCAGTGCTTCAAAATAAAGGATTTATTTAGTGCATTAGACTGGAAAATGGGAATCAAAGAAATAGCTCTCCCCAGGAAGACACAAGAGAGTCAGCCTGGTCAAGGACTTAAATCCCTCAGGGAAAAAAAAAAAAAAAAACAAGAGTGGCCTTGGTTCCAGGACTTTGAACCTAGTACTAAGCCCTGCCTGCTTATAAGATGTATGAACAGCAGAATCTTAATCCTGATTTGGGCTGTTCCTTTAAGTGATTGAATCATAGGAATATTTCATCTGAATCATTTGCTCTAATTGTAGTAAGGTAAAAAGAAGATGCTGAATTACTCCCCAACAGTGAGCCACTACATTGGAGGCTCAATGAACCATGGTTGCCAGACTGAGGACTTGAATAGAGGAGGGCAGAAGTGTTCCTTTGGTGTCAGTACATTTCCCATGGTGCTATGGGAATAGTAAGAGACCCTAAAAGCAAAATTACATGATGATTTCTTGAAGTCTCCTCGCCCCACTTAGGAGACATCTAAAACAAAGTCTCTTCACTCTTTTACCAAGATTATTTTTCTCCTTTTCAAAATTTGCAAAATGGAAATGTCACCAAATCTCCATCTCTAGCGCTTTGCTCTAAGAATAGCTTGCCATGTTGACCTCAACTCTATAGGTACAATCCTCAGTTATTGTCAACAAGCATCTAGGTGTTAATGGAGACTCAAAACTGACATGACCAAAACTAAGCCCCTCTTCCCCTCCAAGGTTAATCTGCTTCCTGAGTTCTCTAATTGTGGCCCCACCTACACACTCAACATGAAAACTTGGAAAGCATTGTGCAGGAGTCTCCAAGTTAATAAATCATCAAGGCCTCCTGGTAGTACCTCCTAATTAGGGAATGTGATGGTCCCTTTTCCTCTTCTTATAAGTGATAGACCCAACCTGATTTTTAAAATTGGGAGCCATCTCGCCACAAAGCCATGAAAGGATAATTTTGGCTTTACTATAAATTACTGCAAATTCTGAACCTGCTTGGAATGTCTGCCCGTGCCTTGAACTCACCCATGCCTGGCTCTCTGACCAGATAGCAGCCCTCTATGAAACTTTAGTGACGCCTCACAAATCTTGGCCTTCCCTGGCCAGATAAGGACCCTCTCTGAGGCTCTAATGACCTTCATAAATTCTGATGTTGGGGCCAGCAAAAATGTAAACTACCATTTGCGTTATGCTCCTCAGAGTTTTGTTATCTGTAACCCCCCTTTGTATAACTTTCTGGGCTATAAAGCTGGGCTGCAGGAAAGCTGGGGCTGCTGTCTTGTTCCTGCGGTTTTGGGTGATAGAGGCAGCCCAGCCGGTCGAAATAATAAGCTTGCTTTAATTTGATTTTAATTGGAGTCAGTGGTCTTTTCTTGCATCCTGGTCTAACAGTAAGCATGATCTGGCTCATTCCTTCATCTTTTGCCCAGATTTCTACAACTATCTAATGTACACTCCTGCCTATTGTGCAATGACTTTGGATTAGCTCATCCAAATTTTCTCTTTGTATTTAAAAATACAAAGAGCCATTTTGAGAGCAAAGGAGGAAGAAGCACTAACATCTTTCCACCACATTCTTTCACCTCAAGCCTCAGAATAGGTCCTGGATGTATAGGGCGGAGAGGAGATAAGGGGATCTGTCCATTGTGAATCAGCTCTGTGTGTGCTCTGATGAATTCTTGCTCGTGTGGAAGAGAAACAGGCCACCAACTGAAAAGAGTAAGGGCAATGCCAAGCACAGGTGTGCTCAACGGCCAGGCTTTAGATCCTATCTTTACCCTCTCCTTCTATTAGAGCAGAAACTCACCCTATTTC